CTGGTTTATATTTTCTGTCTGTGCCTATCTAGACATGGGATGAGGACCTGGCCATCACTGCCAGAGCGTGGGCAAAGAACTGTGTGTTTGAACACAACGTCGACCTCAAGGAGCCCCGACGTATGCACCCAACCTTCCCCTCTGTAGGAGAAAACATTTGGACCGGCTCCCCACCATCATCGTTTGATGTAACAGGTGCCATACAAGGCTGGGTGAACGAAAAAATGCACTACAGCTACGGAAGAAACACCTGCACCAAAGTCTGTGGCCATTACACACAGGTATGTGCACTTCTGACTATGACTGAGAACGTGGTCGTTGTGGGTCACACAGTCTTTCAGAGATGAGGCTCAGTTATGAGGGTGATGTTGGAACATGTCAGTGACTTACACTTGGTCCTTTCTGTTGTTTCCAGGTCGTGTGGGCAACTAGCTACAAGGTTGGCTGTGCTGTGCAGTTGTGCCGCAACGGTGTCTCTGGCTTCACCGACCGTGAGGGGGCTGTTTTTGTGTGTAACTACGCCACAGCGTGAGTCGAATGCCTCTACACATCACAGCAACTTTTAATCTGTTCTCACACTGAAGGTCTGTGTTTGTGGCTGCTATGAGGTCACTGAGTTTGATCTAAAAGTTATGCAAGGTTGTCAGGTTTCCTGTGGAGAGAAAAAAAACAAAAAAACAAGAAGTGGCCAACTGCTGAGTGAGTTCAACAAAACCATCTGGATTCAGGTTTTGTTGAGCCAGATAACACGAAGAAAGCCTGGCTTTGTCAAACCTGCTCCACACCCAAAAGTGTATACTATGAGTCAAACCGTCCTGGACCCAAAGGAGTGCCATGAGTTAGACAATGTGGTGAATTGATTCTGCATGTGAAGAAACATCTCTACACGACACAGCTGCTGAAAGAACACCGGCAACAACAAAAAGAAGAACAAACATAGAAGCAAAGAATTCCCACAGCCTCATAGATGTGTAGAATATCAAACCTCTGAACTGAAGAACAGCACTGAACAGGCTTTACTTAAGCAAAAAACAAAGATGAAGTAAACACACAGTTATCAGAAAAAAGGGCAGAAATCTGTTTCCTCATCAAGTCCTGATTAAGGCTGATAAACATGAGCACATTTTTAATAGTCCACTGGGGACATATTAGTGTAATAAAGACTCTTAGTCCAAGGAGAGCCTTCACTGGAGACATTTTTCTCTCTGTGTTTTTCCTCTATTGATTTTTCCACTTAAACATCAAACTGCAGCCAAACAAGCTTTAGAATCGTGCTTTGGGCTTCTTTTACGGATCTTGAAGACATTTTACCTTCATCACAAGACTTCTTGAGTGGTGGAGAATCTCAGGTTCATCTGTCATGACCGAGCCAAGACTCTCATGACTCCAGGTATGATTGCTGCAGGCAGCTTCACCGCCATCGAGTCATGTGGGTCTTTAATGGGCTGCGAGTCACGGGATTTGGTAGAATCACTACCTGGCACTGCCCACCAGTCAGTTAGAATGGAGGAAGCCTGTTGGATGAAGTGAAACTAACTCAGAAATCAAAAACGGGAATCCAGTTACCTTCTAAAGAAGCACTGAGGTTTACTGTGACGTGGTTGACTGAGAATCTACACAGAAATAGAGAAACGTCTTTCTAACATACAACTGTTCTGTTTTTGTATCATAAAACGACATGAAATGACCAAACACAACAAAAAAATAAATGATCCCAAAGTCAACTAAAAGAGCAGAAAGCACAGAGAGACGAGGTTTGTGTGTTTGTTCACAACAAGAAAAGTAGAATAATGCCAGCTTCATCCTTTAAGCTTCACCTTTTAGATCTCAGCACATCAAAGCAGATACATTACATAAACCCAGCAGTGAGAAGGTGGAAGGTTTAACACAAAGACGAATGATGATGGAGAAGTGATCTAACTTGGACGACGCCTCCGTTTGCAGTGGGAACATGAATGGAAGACGGCCGTATGAATCTCAAGGGGCAGCCTGCTCTGGATGTGACGGGACGTGTGTGGACAATCTCTGCCGTGAGTATCTCTGTTCGCCGATGCTTAGCCAAAACATTTGATTTATTTTTACCTCTGGGGAATTCAAGATGAGCTGATTACGACTACACCAAGGAAGGTGCAGCTAAAAAGCAGGAGTTCAGACTCTGTTAGAAACACTGACTATGAAGTGAATATTCCTGAACAGTTTAGGTCTAATTTTATCTCTAATTCACAAGTCCATTTGTATTTATCTCAGCAAATTTCTGACTTGTGGAGGTTAATTTCTATTCAAATTCAGGACACTAAGTTATGGAACAACCTTTCTTTCATTCTAAGACTTGTGCATCAATATAGTATTCAAAAAACATTTAAAAGATCATTTAATTACTTTTTTATGACCAGGTTTCATCATTTGTTCACATTTTATTTTTTGTTTCCTCTTTGGGCTGCAAGGTGGATCAATGGTTAGCACCGTTGCCTCAGAGCTAGAAGGTCGCCGGTTCGCATCCTGGTGAGGACACCCGGGATCTTTCTGCGTGGATTTTGTATGTTCTCCCCGTGCAGCGTGGGTTCTCTCCAGGTTCTCCAGCTTCCTCCCACAGTCCACCCACCCAGCCCACACTGCACAGGGAGAACATACACAGAAAGATCCTGGGTGTCCTCATCAGGATGCAAACCGGTGACCTTCTTGCTGCGAGACAACGATGCTAACCACCGAGTTTTTCTTCTGTATGTAGATTTTGTTCTGTTTATAATTTGAAGAGTTTGTTCGCAAAAACAGATAACTTCATCCTCACAAACCCTCAGAAAACCCTCTTCTCCATCGTCTACCTGAGACAATATCAATCAAACTTAAGTTATCTCTGTTGTTGTCATTTCTACGGAGTCAGATCCACTCAGCTTCAGTTTGATTTTATCTCAAGCAAACAACAAAAAAATAAGTTTTCTGAAAATCTACAAAAATTGAGTTTTCTGTTTTTACAAATGAAGTCTTCATTTGTTGACATTTTATCAGTATTTAGATGGAGGCTTTATATAAGTCCACCCAGGCTCTCTGCCTCTTCCTGCCCAACATCTTTATCTGTTGGTTGTGTTCTCTGTGTATGTTTCTAAAAGATGCAAAACAAACAATAAACAATCATAAACTTTAACAATCCTGTTTACAAAATGCCAAAAAGACACAATATGTCTGCTCAAGAAGAGGAAAAGACAAGAAAAGCAAAACATCTTATACTTCTGCATTTTTAATGTGTCTGATGTGTTTACAGGCAGCAAAGAACGAGATTCAGACAAAAGTAAGTAAGACGGAGACGAACTACAGTTTAAAGATGGACCCGATTTAAAATCTAAACACACACTTTACTTGTGTGGTAGTTCTGAACAATGTTTTTCACATCATAGTAAATCATGTTACTACTATAGAAACCTCTTCTCTTGTCTCCAGGCTACGACCGGAGTCCAGCCGGGGATCCTGCTCTCACCAACACCGACTCTAATTACGGCACGATCCTGATCGCCAGGCCCATCGTCCTCATCGTCACCTTCGTCACAGCGTTTGCAGTCCGTTACTTCTACCCCGATGTGTTCTGCTATGAATAGAGCTGCTGGCTGGGTCCACCAGAGCATGGACTCATTGTCAACATTATAGACAATGATGGCTTAGACCAGGGGTGCCCAGTCCTGGTCTTCGAGAGCCCCTATCCAGCATGTTTTAGATGTTTCCTTCTTCCAACACACCTGATTCAAATGATCAGGATCATTATCAGGCTTCTGCAGAGCTTGATGATGAGCTGATCATTTGAATCAGGTGTGTTGGAAGAAGGAAACATCTAAAACATGCAGGATAGGGGCTCTCCAGGACCAGGATTGGGCACCCCTGGCTTGGGCAGTATAGAGTACACAACTCTGAGGGTCTACATGCACACAAAAGGACAATAGCTTCTAATAACTTGTTTAACTGTAAACTAAATTTTATAATTCATCCTACATCTACCCATCCGGTGGAGGCAGATGGCCGTCCCTCCCTGAGCCTGGTTCTGTTGGAGGTTTTCGGTTCCTTTCCACTGTTGCGGACTGCTTGCAGACTGCTGAAGCTTATAGGGAATCCAGATGTTTTGGATTGTGAAGCGCTATGAGGTGACTTGTTGTTGTAAATATGCGCTGTACAAATAAAACTGAATTGAAAAAAACCCCTGCAAAATACACTTTTTTCTTTTAAAGCCACACTGGATCTGATTTGCTGCCCTGCTTTCATCCATCACCAACCAGCATACTTGTTCTACGATTGCCCCTCAGGTTTGGGAACATTTTATGTCAACGTGGCAGCTTTAGCGTCCACACAGAAAACAAGCTGCGACTAAACCACAGGTGAGAATTCCCAACGAGGAAATGCTGACTTTCAGATTATTTATAAGGAATCTAAATCAACTTTATGGAACATTTCGCCACATTTCAAGTCGGTTTCTGCAGACGTGTGGCTCCTGTGCCTCCATGAGTCCTGTTAGCTTTGCACAGCGTCCAGAGTGGTGAGATCGAGGTGCAGCTCTGTACGCAGAGAACCGACGAGGCTGCTCCAAGGTGCTGCTGCTGCTGTCGGCCGTTTATGAAGGAGGAAGTGAGATAGAGCTACAGCATTTCTCGGAAATACATCAGATAAAAATATACCTTTTATTTTTAAACAGTATTTTTATAGAAACAAACAGGTCGTGTCACTTTCAGTCCCTGTTTACAGACTCAGCATCCAGCTGATCAGTGAACAGGCTCCTACAGCACACTACTGGAGAGTTGATTAGATTTGGGTTAATGAGGTGTTTTGAGTCCAAAGTAAGAGTTTTCAGGTCATGAATGTGTATCTCGTTTAACCTTCTAGATCGCCATGGTAACAGATACAGAGCAGGTGCTGTTGAAAATTTCAGATTATCAGATTTTAAAAAACAAGAACGTCCCCCTTTAACCATTTTTTGCTGACGATTCTCAGCAGATGGAGTAATGCCACTGAACGAGGCCACGCTGCTGCAGTAGTGCAAACTTATGTTGCCATGGGAACCTACATGCATCTAGCTGGTGATGCAGAAAATGCATAAACATTAGATTTTTGCTTGGTCCCAATTGGTTACCTGTGGTACAATTACATACTAACTTCCACCATTTTCCAAGTTCTCCAAATCAACAGATAACATATTAATTTGTGGGTGTTTACAGTTTGTTGTTTTGTCCACAAGGAGTCAAAAAATGCTGATGCTGCTTTAATGGGATAGAAAACGTGCAGCTCTAGTTTGTAGACACCAACCAGGTTTGAAAGCTGCCTGACCCCCATGAACGAGGATGAAAGTAAGATCCAGGCTGTTAGAAAACCTTCTTTAATTCTGTATTTATAGATCAGGGTGAGTAATAACATCAGTTTCAACAAATAACAAAAACGTATTGAAACATATAAATACTGTCCATTCAAAATCTGGACAATAGTTGACAGCAGACGGCCGGCAGGAGGGAAAAGCACGACTTCATGTTCGTCAACACTCTAGGTCTCAACAGAGAATATGAACCAGGAGAATATGAAAAGGACATTCTTCCTGACAGAACAAGCAGCTGAATAGAAACGTCTGTGATGGAATCCTGATCCACGTACACACCGTACGCCTGCCGTCCTGTCTTCCTGTGCACTTCCACAGTCTGTCCTCTGTCCAGCAAACACACATCACGTCGTCCATGTGACAGCAGCGCTGTATGTGTGTGTCTAGCCTTTGCTTTTGTTCTTTTTCTTTTTGTTGGTTGTGCTGCTGGTGGGAGGTGCTGGGTTCACTGGTGGAGCCCCCAGCTTCTTCGTTTTGGCCTTTTTCACCTTCTCCTTGAGGGCTTCGATGTCCAGTTTAGCTTCTGTCGGCGCTGAGACAGAAACAAAGTCAACAGGAAGGAGACAGAAGTTAGTAACAGCTAGAGACGTGTCCACTTTGCTCCCAGATTAAAGCTTGTTTGTGTGTTTCTACCTTTCACTGTCTTCCTGATCAAAGGCTTCTCTTTAGGAGGAATGAAAGCTTTGTTCCGCTCCTCTTGCTTCTTGGTCAGTGCTTCTGCTTGCTTGACCTGAGAAAGAGGAACAATGACTGTCACATATTTACCATTTGTGATATTGACCAAACACTTTAAAGCTTCGTTTCTTTAACAAAGCTACTACAGGAAGTCCTGACTTAACAAAGCTACCTGCTATTAGATAAAGCTAAACCAGCTGCTTTAACTAAAGAACTGAAGGAACGATGAAGAAGAAACATGGGGTGTCCCAGCCTGAAGACAGCAGACCTTCATGGCCATGATATCATTTATAAACAGGCAGCTGGAGGAGATACATTCACTCCAAATGCTTACCTTGATTTCCTCCATCTTCTTTCTCCTTTTCACACTTTCTCGGAGGAAGAATTCTCCCGTGGCCAGCTCCTTGTCAACCTGCAGATGAAGCACAGAGTGTTGGAATCACTTAGTTTAACCTGTCTCTACATGCACACTGGTCTCCATATGCATGTTTAACAATTAAAAAATTGTTGGATTTTCAACTTTCTGATGGTTTTTAAGCCGATCATGTGTAACAGGAGGTCCTAGCTGAAAAACAGAACCAGATCAAGGCTTTAAAACTGTGATACTTCATCAGAACCGCTGTTTTTTTTTTTTTTTATCTTCCTCATTCAAAAAAACTCCAAATAAAAACCATGTACACCCCAGATTTTAAGAATTCTCCTCTTCCACAAAACCAGAACACCAAGTTTGACTTTGACCAACAGTCACGTCACATAAACTCAGGAACTGGTCAGATGAAGTGCAGGCTGTGAGAGGAGGATGAACGCTAATTAAAACTAATTAAGTATCTATGTGATGTACAGCCACTGTTTATTTCAGTAACACTTGTGGACAGTTGGAAAAATGCTGCTAATGCTGATTCCAGGTTTGTTCAATTTATAAAGAATAAATGAAATCAAAGAAATGTTTGTTTTGGTTCTTCTTTTATCATTAATGCCATTAAAACGGCGTCAAACTGCATAAAATACTTTTCTGACTTCAGCCATGGTTGTGCGGTTTCTCCAGAGGCAGGATTGCAGGACAAACACTCAGGAATTCAGAAGGTACAGACAGGTGTGGAGGAATCAGCATTGAAACAAACCTTGCTCTCTGGTGGCTGAGGAGGGAACGGCGTGTACTCCTTCTTCACGCTCTTCTTCTTGGGCGCCTTACGCTTGGACAGGTTCTTGTGGCGGAAGTTGGGCAGGAAGCGTTCCCAGCTCTGCATCCGCAGGTCGGGGTCTTTGGACAGCTCCCGTTTGATCATCAGTGTCTGGCGGTGAGGGGAGGAGGAGGAAGGTGGTGGAAGGACAGCAGTAAACATGTGTTAAACTGGTGATGTTGGACATTCATGACATATGCTCTCTCTGCAGTGAAATGTAGTTTTAATACCACTGCTTATAAATGATTTAGTTGTAATGTGGGATCATTATTGTTTGCTGAAGTTTGACTGCAGGTTTGGGTGATACAGCAACAGAGGCTTAAATCAGGGAGGAGCAGGCTGCATCCTCAGATGTATTCATTAGGGCTGGACCCGAATAGCCAAATAACCGACTATTTGTTCGCTGTGCTGGAATCGGGATATCAAACTTGACCTCTGAATATCTCCGCCGCCACGGAAACGGAGTCGTCACCGCTAACCTAAACACAGAAACTGGTCTTTGTAGCCAAGTGCGGCCTGTGCGTCACGTCATGCTCACTCCAGCAGAGTCGGAGCGTGCACCCCCCCGTCGACAAAAATAGTCAGCCGCCACCACCGTGCGGCACCCCTAAATATTCGGGATATTCGTCATTAATTGGGACCGAATGTCCAGAGATCAGAAATTGCTATTCGGACCAGCCCTAGTATTCACACCCTCCCATTAAAGAAGAAAAAACAGCTTCAGTCACTGAAATACGTTGAAACTGACAAAAATAATATTAAATAAAAATGTAATGAAAAGCATGACATTGCTTTTGAATTGTGGTTCAACAGAAATATATAAAAAGTAAAAATAAAAATCCAATCACTGCATTCAAGTGTTTTCTGTAACTCTCCATCAGACTTGTGCACCTGATAACAGGTGTTCTGGCCCACTGCTCATCAGCAAAGTGCTCTGATTTGTCCAGGACAGTTCTGTTTTTGTTTTTTTAAATTATTTTTTTCAACCACAATTCAAAAGCAACGTCTTATTCCACTAAAGTGTAATTTAGTAAATTTTTATTTATTATTACTTTTTCCCGTTTCTAGTTATTTGAGTGACTATTGTGAGTTTTTCCTTTTCTTTAATGGAAGAGTGTGAATACATTTGAGGACGACTGTAGCTGGTGAGCTCACTGTTTCTAGCTCATAGCTGCACATTGCTTTCCTCGTGTAGGAGGGACATCATTTAGGGACATTTATGAGACTTAACACAGTTTCACACATTTCTGCTTTAAAGTGTAAAACAGCAACATCCAGATATATTTTTTTATAACATTTCCACCACATTTCTTGAGGTGTGGTGAAACTTCAATGCGTTGTGCGCCTGCAACAGCTTCCTGTACTGCACCAGTTCTCTGTTCCAATAAGGTGCAGACGATGCTGATGTTCACACAAACACATGATAGTGTGTTCCTCTGATAGCTAATGGTAGGCCCTGGTTGTCGAGGAAACCACAAGAGGGACAGGAAATGATGTCAGTGTTTTTCAGGGTACATTTTAAGTTACAAAAACACGTTTTTCAGACCTTAATGTTGACGGTTACATGGATGCAGCGGGTTGTTGTTACGTCTCTGCTACATCATGATGACAGAGTACAGGTGAGAAAACTAAAGGTAGTGCTTTATGCAGGCAGGAAGTCTGGTTTTGAGGAAAATGATCTGATGTGTTGCAGTTTGGTTAAACCTCAGGTGAGTTACGTAACGAGCCTGCAGCTGGTATATCAGCATCTGTGGCTCTTACACATATCAGCCTGGTCAGATGTGATAGCAGCTACATAATATTGCTTCATTTAACCACCAAACCGCGTCACTAGGACACACTGACAGCTTTACTTTCAGCAGAGTTAGTTACTGCAGATCATCTGCTCTTCTTTAATGCCCTCAGCTCTGAGTTGAGCCAGCCTTGGCGTACAAACCCAGAGAGGTTGATTTCAGTCAGGAGATCAAGAACAAGGATGGAAAAACATCTTCATCGGGCATGAATGTCACAGTCTGTTCACTAATGTTGTTGAACTGTGGCCCAGGAGAAAGCCTCCTCACCCAGCCAGGAGTCTGTCAGCAGTCTGAGCTTACCTTGATGTTGTAGATGGGGTGGATGTTCTTCATCGTGTCCATCACCACTTTACGTACCTGGTCAGCAGAGGAAGACACGTTAAAAACATCCGCTGTTCTCTGTGTTCTGATTTGAGTTTACAGGTTCAGTCTCATAATAACAATAAAATAATAAAAACTATAGCAACAACCCCCAGTATATAAAAACACATAATGAAATAACATGTGCAGCATTTAAACAGGAAGTCAGAATAAGCCAAATAGTGGAAGAAATAAAAAAAAACTACAGTCACTAATGTCACTGTTGCTCTTATTCAAAAACCTAAATAGTGTCAAACATCCTGCCACTCCTATGACAGTGGTGCTGTCACATCTCTCTGTCTCGTCAGCCAGCGTCATGTTTTCCAGAACTCCAGAAATCATTTCCAATCACAAAAATTGTCGTTAATCTTTAATCTGAGCTGATTTTGGTCACGTTTCGTGCTTTTGGACAATAAAAAGTGTAAACAGATGATTAATCATGTGAGTTAAATTCTCTCCAAGTCAGAATTTATTCAGGCAAGATGCTTCCATCTTCCATCGTCCACTTCTCTGAAAAAGTCCAAAAACACCTCAAATGGGCATAAAAATTTCTTTGCAATAGTAAGGATTTTTTCCCATTTACTTCTTCTATATATGCTTAGAAATACACTATAGAAATACAACTACTGTCTCTGGGATTTAGTGTGAACAGTCCGTCCTGGTGCCTCTCGCTCTGTGTGTTTTGTGTTTGTTGTAACAGAACTTCTGTTGGCAGCTGCTGACTCGATGTGGGAGTTTCTGTGAGAGTCTTAGTGAAGACATCCGTTAGCAGCTGCGCAACTTTGTGAAGAAGTTACTCGTTTCCTGTGTTTTCGTATTGTGTGTTTTGAGGCACTAGTTTGTTTTAGTTTCTTTTGTTATGTGTGGATGTTGCTATTAGGTTTAATCATGGCTAAAGGGTTTAGCTTTGTTGGCTAGCTTCGACACTCTGTTAGCCTTTGTTTGGTTCTTTGACTTGTAGCAACATCCACCATCTTCCTTTGTGTTGTCACTGTTCTGTTGTGTTCATTTATGTTACTGAGCAATAAATTGCTTTGCTTTACATCCAGCTGATCTTGGAGACTGGATCCTAACAGTTATCATCTGTGTGTTTTTTTTTTTTATTAGCAGCGTAGATTCAGAAATTATATTGAGGTTGTTGTAGCTCAAATCAGAGCCAGCTGTCGGAGTCTGGTAGCTTAAGAGGCAGGAGGCTGAAAGTTAAGTGTAACAATACCACTGTTGTAAAATAACATAATGAAATAAAACGAGCCTTTTAAAAATGTGATGTTGAAATTAAAGCTCATTTGAAAGAAATTAACTCCTTAAAGTAAAAAAAAACAAAACAAAACAAAAACATTAATAAATACATTTTAGATTTCTAAGTAACAACTTGCTAAATATTTTTATTTATAAATCATACACACTCAATTCATGTACTTATTTCTTTATATTATTTATTTAGTTAATAAAGATCCAATGGCTCTAAACGTATTTTCTTTCCTTTGCTGGGTCCTGCTGCTTCCTGCTGCTCGAACCGCCCAGATTTCCCAGCAGAGCTCATTAGAGTTTCAGCTCACCTCTGCTCAACTTTGGCAGAGCCTAATTAAACCTGAGGGGAGGCTGTGCAGCACCTCAACACAACTTCACCCACACAACAGCAGACTCAGAGTTTTAGGTGGAAGGTGTTCTTTAGTTCTGGGATGTTGTAACGATAAACACACATGATGCACCAGTGCTGTCAGCATAGACACATTTTCATGGGCACTATTCATCTTCTAAAGATACAGTTCATTTCTAGCGATGCTTCATGATGTTTGCCCCCAGACCACCTGCTGTATTTACCACTGGACCGCTGTGGGCAGAGTGAGCCCCTGTGATGCTCTTACCTCCTTCAGGCCGTTGTAGGGCCCCAGGGCTGACACCGTGTTTCCCTGCACCATCACATAGCAGTTAGTCAGCAACTCTAAGGCCTGAAGAAAAGAAACAGAAGGCAAGAAGAAAGCATTTAACTCAGGACTTGAAGGAAATGATCTGGTAATAGTGCTGCAAAGACACACATGCTGACGATGAGGCTGAATACAAGCTATGCTGCCATCTAGGGACATTCAGGAAGCACAGCACCCGGAGGCTTCGTTCACAGTAACATGAGACACTTTTCTGGTCCAGGAACAGAAACCCCACATATCAACTTGTTTTTAAAATATAACTTAAACCTCCATCAAAATGCATCAGTCATATTTCAAACAATACTGAACACAACTATGAGAAATGCATAAAGCTGTCAGCGTCCAACCTGTCTGCTTTATGAGGTTATTTGCTGGTACTTCTAATTATTAAGGCAAATGACCACCATTCACGGTACCCTTTTCAACAATAAGCAACCACCATATCACCATATGCCAGAGTCCTCGCCAAGATTCCTTTACCGGGGGGGGGGAATAGCAGCGTTAGCAGCAAAGTCGATGACAGTGAAACTCCGTCGGTGCTTATTGTGAAATATTTTCCCGTTACGTACCCTCAAAAACAACGTATCGGCCCAATCTGCAGTGTAATTTTTTCAGGCAGTTATGTCTGTTATGATGCTGGCGACAACCCTGTATCCTGTTATTATTATTATTATTATTTGCATAATTTATTTCCTGACTAAATGTCTTGTTCACATACGGGGATTCCCTCTGATAGACAATCAAAAATGAAAGTCGCCATATACCAGAGCCGCTACACCAGTCTGCAGGGTAGACGGGGTGAAAGCAGCAGACCGGTATAGCGGGCTATAGTGTTAAAGGGGTTTATAGACACTAGATTCAATTCAAGAGTGAATCTTAAGAAGGCTATAGTCTCCTTTCTTCAATGCAGCTCTGTGTGGTGCATGTTGTCATACTGCCAAATGTAAACACATCACATCTCCTTTCAGTAAATATTCCAGGTATGAATTTGGTGTTTTTGTACAATTCGGTGTTCTTTCACTTTCAATTTAGTCATCCTTTGATTTCAAATGTGCTGAACCACCAGCACATCTTATCACTTGTTCAAAGCACACACATTGCATCTTCATTGTTACTTCATAGTTCTTCTTTATTTCCACCACAGGCTGTTGGTAGATGTGATGTATTGAAGCTACGCTGTAACAGCGTGTTGCATCAGTGCCTGCTGATTCCAACAAGGACTGCATATTTTGTTTGTATCTGAACTTCTTTGGTTTATGTTTAGAACCTAAATATAGTTTTGCCAGAATCCTGGTAATATTTCTCCACCCTTGAGAAGACTTGTTAAATAACTTCAGCACTCAGGATGAACATAAGCTCCTGCAGGATGTACCTGATGTCTTGTTAATGTCCAGGGATCAGTAGACAGACTAATTTATTTTAACAGTGGGTCACTATCATAGACTCCAGGCCCCCACGACCCTAGTGAGGATTAAACGATGGATGGATGGATGGATGGATGGATGGATGGATGGATGGATGGATGGATGGATGGATGGATGGATGGATGGATGGATGGATGGATGGTCACTATCATGGTTATCCAGCATTAAAACCTTTTGGCATGTCGATCAATTCCAAGCTGTGTCCAAACCATAACAAGCCAAGTGTAATATTTTGGGAAGCATGTTTATTAGTAACCCCCAAAGAAAGGCTGAGATCTGCACATTTTTTGCTTTGCTATGACAGTATAAAGAATATCATCATCACTGTAGAGCGTAATAAGCTTCACTCAGTCTGCTATCGACTCCATACACACTTCCCAGAAAGCTCAATCACAAAGATGTACGACCTGCATCACTGGCAACAAAGACTAAGAGGTACCTCTGAGCGATCTGCTGTTTTCTGGACAGTTATCAAATGTGTTGGACCAAAGCTGAACCGTGGTGTCGGACTCACTTTTAGGGTGGAGCCTTTGGGGCCAATCAAGCGCTGCCTTCTCTTCACAAAGCGCTCTCTGTTCCTCACCAGAGTCCCGATTTTGATGATGTCACAGGCCATGTCGTCCTGTAATATCCGCACAGCCTGGAAGCAACACCAAGAACAGGGGAGGAGTGTAAAAGCTGCATAAACAAACAGTTCCTCAAAACACTAAGGAACAAATCTACATGTGCAAAGAGCAGCTTCATCTCTCAGACAGGCAGATATCAACAGAGCAGCGATCACTACCTGTTCAAATGGGACGCTCCTCGCCAGCAGCTTAATGAGATCTCTGGCTCTCACGATGGCATACGGGTCAAACGTTTTCTTGGTGGTACAGACTGTTATGCTGCCCTCGATCAGATCCAGAGAGGCTTTAATGGACTGAGAGAAACATAACCAGCGTTACACAGGATTCAATACGGCACAGTACAGCCACAGATCCAGAGAGTTTTAAATAATCCCAAAGAAGTACAAGATGATGTTTTACTGCCATCAATAAGTAAAAATGTTGTGCTGTCAACATGTGTCTTCCAATATTTTAAGTTGTGGGAGAAAAAAAAAATCTGAGAGTTCTGAATTAAATGCAGCTATAGTCCAGCTGACTTAGGAGGCATAGTGTGAGCAGGACATTCACACAGCAGTAGTCTAAGTGCTTCATGCAAACACAGTTTTTGCTCTTGTGAGAGTAAAACAGCAAAAAAATAGACTTCAAGTCTGTGCTGACAGAGGGATTAGTTCATATGGAAATGTGTCCATTCCATCTGACAAACGAAAGTCAGACAGTAAAAAGTGTGGTCCCACTGTTTCACACTAGGCAATGACAAAACAGCAACAGAATGCCATCTCAAACCATAGTACCACCTGTACAAATCACAAGAATAAAGACTAAAACTCAAAATGCAAGAATGACAATAAAATTTGAGACATGACACCTGGAATAAAATTAACAAAAAAATCTTTAGAATATAGATTCAGGTCAAAAGACAAGGACTAAAATGAACATGCTGGGTTCTGTGTTCATAAAACTAACATGTTCAAGAGACCTCCAGGGCTCTGCTCAATTATGATGCAGATCATTTAAATTGATATTTAGTGATTGGTTAAAAAAAAAAATCCATAAGACAGAACATTGATGCAAATGTAGTCGGCACAGTTAAGTTTTCTTTTTTCTTTTTGTGGTTTTTCTTCATGTTTGTATAAATGTTACAATATAAAATCACATTCATCCATCCATCATCTATACACCACTTAATCCTCACTAGGGTCATGGGGGGCTGGAGTCTATTCCAGCTGACTCAGGGTGAAGGCAGGTTCACCTGGACAGGTAACCAGTCTATCACAGGGCTACACTCAGGCTTTGTCCACACGTAGCAGGTATCTCACAAAAAGATATTTTTCTACGATGTGTCCTGTCATCCACATGAAAAGGCAGATTTACAGCAACAAAAACGATTCTTTCAAAAACTTTTGACCAAAGGGAAGATTTGTGAATCCTCCATTTATGTATGTGGACATCAACAACCGGGATTTTAGGTCTCCTAACGTCACTGCCTGCGACAAAATATGTTCTTTACATCACATATGTGACCTGTGTTTACATTTGGAAACAGCGTGGACGCCCTCAGAACTGTGTTGGCGTTGTCTCTGGTCCAGGTCCAGATACCGCTCCACGTACAAGAACACAGGCGAAAGACGGCGTTAAGGACGGTTATTTTACGACGTAAAGAGGTGGAAGCTTCCTCCGATTGGATAGGATTTGGGGAACAACTGCCACCTAAAGGTTTGACATGCTAATGAATGTGCTTGACATCACACTTGCGGTTCGGTGTGGATGAATTTTTTTTTCTAGAAATGAGGTGGTGTGTAGGGGGGAGGATATTCGGTTTTATAAAAACATTGCTGAGCAAGGCCTAAGAGACAGACAACCAAGCACACTCATATTCACACCTATGGACAATTTAGAATCACCAATTAACCTCAACATGTTTCTGGACTGTGTGGGAGGAAGCTGGAGAACCCAGAGAGAACCCACGCTGCACGGTGAGAACATGGAGACTCCACGCAGAAAGATCCTGGGTGTCCTCACCGGGACGCAAACCAGCAACCTTCTTGCTGTGAGGCAACAGTGCTACCCACCGCTACACCTTGCAGCCCACAATATAAAATGTAGAATAAATGTATAAATGTATGATTTAAACCTGCCTACATATGTAACCAATACATTTCTACTGCATGTAAACATGTTTTGTCAAACACAACTGATTTTGTTTCAGAAAGTTTTACATCTGGTGTCATTGTTTTTCTGTTCCAGGCTTGTCCAGACTCTTACCGACTCTCCTAACGCTTTCTCCACGAGCGGCCAGCACTCTTTCAGGTAGGCCTCCCTGTATTTGGGGAACAGGGTGGCGAAGCTGCTCTCCTCCAGCAGGCCGCGGGGGTTGTCATCTCTGGAGAACGATGGCTCCTTCCATCCATCAGGAACAGTCAGGAGCTCAGATTCATCCACTGCAAGGACACAGGCATCCCAACCATGTGAAGACTGACATCTCAGCTGTAGTTTTTATCTCTTGACAGCACCCAGTCATTCACTGTGTTCATATGGAGGAAACACTCAGAACACATCCCCTTAATTTAATGTACAATTGAGCACAAAATTGTTCATTCCCATAATAAAGATTTATATAGAATTTATGTTTGACCAAGAGGCTTTTGTGACAAAAAATGGTACAAATTGGTGATAAGAGCTGTTCATGAAACTGCCAACTATTGGTTTTATGTAAACTTGCTATGTCCAAAAGCATTCATGACCCTTCTGTGTAATCACTGGTGTCACCTTTACGCGTCTTTTGTCACTTGTCATTTCCAGGCAGAAGACAACGGTCAATAAAAATTCACAATAAAGAAAATTTGGCAAAGGTCTTTGTCTCTGTCCGCTGCATTAAATATATTTATCTCAGATGAAGAATGCTATCTTAAGACGACTTCTAGATACAACCCACTGTAGCTTTCCAGCCAACAGGTACCAAGTAGAGATTCCAACATCTAATGATCTACATTAATGTCTTCACAGACAATCAGGTAACATTCAGAAACTTGTATCTGCAATGTGTGAATACAGCAAGACAAGAAGACAGCCAGGCTACCTTGAGTATTTTACAGTTTCTTGATATGTTACCAGTCAAACAATAACTTCAAATGTTTTTCTAGTGTGAATTCCAAACGTAAACAGCGAGGGCAAAGTATACTTAACAAAATACTCGTCTGTTTACAACACGACAGCTCACATGCTAGCTTAAGGCTAATTCCAGCATGTCTCGCAGCTGGGACGTCAACAGGTCAGATAACTGAAAAATTCTGCCTCGCTTCACAGTGAACATGTAGCCGGTTGTCCGTCGACAGCTTCTGAAACTGTGAGGATTTATAACTCACCTTGGTTTTTGGTCTTTTTCGATTTTTTCCCTGTTTCTGCATCACTCACGCCGTCTGCAGCCGCGGTGGACGCCATTTTTGAGCAGAAGCGGAAATGACGTAGTTCTTCTTCGTGTAACTTTGAGGGTCGTTGCTCAACCACTGCAGCTCGTTACTGCCCCCACGACTCAAACGCGTTTATTCCTCCAACGTTTTTCATACACGAGAAGAGTAACAGGTACATGAAACCAATATTTGGTGGATCTGCATTTTTATTGGGACAGCAGTTGTACACGTGCACTTCTAGGAGCCTCTTAGTGAGGATGATGAGGATGAAGTACACAGCTGGTGGATTTGGTTTTACTCCACATCAGCAGTATTTTCTGTCCTGCAGTTTAACGTAGTTCTTTTTGGCTGTATGTGAGGCAAATTGTGTAATAAACACAATTAGGCTAATCATCAGGTAAATATAACAATGGAATCATCTGTGAAGACCTTTGCAGTCACCAGATCTCCAACAGATATCTGAAGGAGGAGAAGTGGCCACACAGGAGCAACTGGACTTCAGCAAAAGCAACAGATGTGTCTCTATTTATTTATTTAAAAACTTTTATTTAATATTTTCTATTTGTGTTTTGTGTAGCTATAGCTGCAGTGTTTTTTTTTTTTTAATTATCTAAAAGCACACACTCATAATTAGCACAGTCTCTTAACATTATGGTTTGCAAAATTTGTGTAATCAGAAAACATATTATCCTGCGTATTCACAAGTTATAACATACCCAGACCTGTGGTTTTAAAATACGTTTTTGTTGTTGTTGTTTTTGGCCAACATTTTTAAACCCTTTAAATGTGGTTCTCCAAACTGGAACTCTATCCAAACCTTCTAAAAGAAGGGCCCATAATGTAAAACATTTCAGCAACCACAAGACTTATTTTACTTATTTGAAGCTCTCTTTCTGTATTCTTTGATCAGAGCAAATATCAGCTGAATAGTTGAAGTGAACTCGTCCCCAGAATCTTTAAATGAAGTGAGTTCAGTCTGCTATCAGATCTGCTGCTGAAGTCTGGTTTTCACAGGTTAAATCTGGAGAATTAACTCAAGATATCAGGATGTCACAGAGTTTAGCTGGAATTACACCAGTGCTGTGTGATATGCATCTTCTGGAGCTCTCACTACTGTGACATGACAGAACGTCTTCTTCACCACTTCAGGAGCAGCAATAGAAACATCTTAGTGTGGTGTGGTGTGTGTGTGTGTGTGTGTGTGTGTGTGTGTGTGTGTGTTGGGGGTTTTACCTTTTTCCTTCTTCTCTGTTTGGGGCCGTCTGTCGTTTCATTTTAGGGTTGATTCTTCAGTCGTTCCTCATCCTGGGGCTCCTCTCACTGTTTTATTGTCTTCTCACATGTTGAACTGTTGTTAAAATAACCACAGACGTCCAACCTGCTGCTTCTTTCTGAGTGGAGCTCATGTTCTCTCTGGGACTGGGTCGGTTCTCTCCGGCTTCCTCCTGTCATCCAAATACATGCATGGAAGGTTAAATCGGCCAAGTGTGAGTGTGAACGGTTGTCTGTCTCTTTGTGCAGCTCTGTGATGGACTGGTGACCTCCAGCCCTGCAACCCTCCACGAGATCTAGCAGTGACGGCTAACAGATGATAAGTGTTGTTACAGGACACGAGTCACACAAAATAACAACAACACATTATTTCATTGCCCCACCTTTCACATCACTATAATGAAGATTCTTTCCTCATTTCTCTTTCATAATCCGGGTCCACATCCTTTTTTTATTAATGGAGAGCGCTCTAAAGAGAACATAACTGAGATAAAAACCTTCATGACTTCAGAGCTGCATGTTCTCATATTAACATGAAGAATGAGCTTTTCACTCATTTTCTTTTCTCTTGTCTGTTTTCTCAGAGTTTTTGGTGTTGTGGAGGCAGCTTTACAGAGAATAAACACATACAGGTGCATTTTTCAATTGCTTCTAACATAAATAACTGCATTTTTATAGACAGATAAATACTATATACCAAGTACATGTGCAAGCATGTAGGCTATTTCTCACTAATGTAGATTTAAATCACCAGTGCATCCTGCTTTTCTATGCTTCCTTTCTCTCATGGCAGGCTGTTGCTCATCTCTGGTCACTTCTGGTGGGGTCAGACCCTCATCTTTTTGTGACTGCTGGAGCTGTGTCTCACTCCTTGTCTTCTTTAAAATCCTACTTCATCCTTCTTTTTCCTTTGGGTTGTGGACTCACCAGAAGTCAGCGCTGAAAGAGAACCCAGAGGAAACAACACAGCAGAACCTGATGCAAAATTTCTCTCCTCCCGGTGGAGTTTTTTGATGTTAATGGAGCAGCCATGGAGGGACATCGATTATTACAGAATCATGGGTGTTGAACTACGCCTTCATTTGGGGATTATTCAATAGAGCCTAATGGAGACAGATAAAGGCCTCGCTCCAAAGCACTATGATTAGTTGTCTTTATCAAAAGAGTAGTTTTTGCAGCTAACGCTATCTTGAAAACATCCAAGAGCATGAAGATTTTAAATACAGCAGCCATGACAGTCACCAACTCATATGACAGCAGCGCTTCTGTCCTGGTGAGCCAATCATGTGAGAAGGTGGGGATCTTACCTGTTGAATGAGCCTCCAAGGTTCCACGATGATGAGCTACATGTGGACAACTAATGTTACTTTCAAACCTTGTTATGACAGCAGGAGAGGAGATCATACATCAGACATGAACCTCCATCACATGTTGCATCTGTTTCAGCTCCTGACGGAGCAGAGCTTCACTGTGAGGGTGGAACACATGATCCAAGGCGACTATAATTATAAAAAAACAATCTAAATGATGATAAGAGAAAAGCTCTGAGTGCAAATTAAAGTTGGAATTGAAAAACTAATTTGAATATGCAAAGTTCTCAGAAGATCAGTCTTCTCTACTTGCACAAAGTGGAGTCATTACACAGCATTACTGCAGTGGGCACGAATGACTTTCTGCTGTAGTCCTTATTACAGCGCAGTGGAAGAAACCTCCAACTGAAAATACTCTGATTAGTAGAATATAAATAATAAGATAATAAAAAGGTAATTATTGAGCTGAAGCTGTTTTTCAGTCCTGCAGCAGCTGATGCTCCACACACACCTCACATATCATTAGCACAAGTAGAAGACAAAATCTGCACCCGAACTACAAAAACACATCAGTGCATCACATCCGCCTCTTGTCTTCACGTGTATTCATGACAGAGTTCCATCTGTCGTCACAGACTGAGGGTCACTGGAGCTTAAGTCCAGTCCCATAACACGATTAAAACACTGAGGTAGAATTCTGTGCATAATAACAGGACAGAACAGGAGGGGTACCCACCTGATTACCGCATATATATAATAATAATAGATACACTCACTGCAGCATGAGCACACCAGCTCACCTCCAGCTCCGCTCAAACACTGGAGACAAATTGTAATATTGGATTAATTCAACCACACAAACTGGAAAACTGTTCTGATGACTAATAATGATACAGAAAGCTCCACCCTACTAGCTGACAGGATTCACTCTTCAGGCTCTGTAGCTCTACGTTTGTCAGATTGGTAGAAATGTTGAGTCACGGCTTCGACTGCTTAATCCGCTCCGCACATAAAAAACACCATATGGACAAATTAACAAGTGAACTTGATTTTAAATCAATGGGTTTCCTTAAACTGTGGATATTCTGTGATAAGGACATATGAAGCTGGAAGTTGTATCTTTCTTATTGATCAGCAAGAGGGGCACTGCAGGTTTCATAGATAATCATAATATCACCCACTGTAGTCAGTAAAGGCAGAATCTCACTGTGTCGAAACACCAAGAAGAACTTTGAAGTAGAACTTAAATTGTGTCTCATAACTGTATAAATGAGAATTTTCCCTCACTTTATGATTTCTTAGCATTGCTACATGATATGTTATTACATTAAACCCTGTAATAATTTATGCCATAACAATAAATTATTACATTAGAATGTCAAACGTTCCACACGATACCAAGATAAATAGCATGTTGCTAAAACAAGACGTTTCTTGCTACAACAGGATATATGATGTTTCTACATTTCCCTTCCGTACCATTGTTTGAAAAACTCCTGAGTATCTTTATTAAATTAAAGCTTGTACTGAAATCTGCAAATATTCAATTTTCTAACGTTGCCAGCTTGCTCCTGTCTTGTTCAGCTTGACCGTTTCATGAGTGCTGTTACTGCATCAAACGACTGACGGCTACTGTACCGTGAAAAACAGTGAGACGGGCGAAATAAAAATAGATTTGATAGAAATTCTGTCATTTCTGCCTTGCTTTGCAGTGAAGCAACTGCATTACTGACAGGAGCATACTGCACTCACAGGTGATGTTCCAAACATTTTATTGCAGCCGTAGCTGTTCATAGTACGTCATGATTGCTTTGGTTGCGCTCACTGAGAGCACCGTCACTCCCAGAAAGCCTATTGTACCGGCCACAACGACGATCATTGACACGTGCTCTGCCCCTGCAAAAACATGGACACATGTTATTTCATCACTGCATAGCATTAGACCTCCTGACGGGACTGTACAATGATCAAAACATGATGTAATAGATGTATAGGTCCTCTTTCTCTTTAACCCTCTGAACCCTAAAAAACATGTGTGTGTTGAAAGGCATGTTGTCTTTAAAAAAACACACAAAAACCCCACAAAATTTCCCAATTTATCAGAATCTGTAAAAACAGAGTCATCGGATTTTGAATTTTCCAAAGGTAATAAAACTTCTTATCTGTGATGTGCTTGTTGAGTTGGGATACTTTAGCAAATCTAAGCTTAAAATCTCGACGCTTCATCAAAATCAGCTTAATTTACATCCATCCATCATCTCTACACCTTAATCCTCACTAGGGTCATGGGGGTCTGGAGTCTATCCCAGCTGACTCAGGGTGAAGGCAGGTTCACCTGGACAGGTAACCAGTCTATCACAGGGCTACACTTAGAGACAGACAACCAAGCACACTCACATTCACACCTACGGACAATTTAGAATCACCAATTAACCTCAACATGTTGCTGGACGTGAACCGGCGACCT